TCACATCAGATACTGATGCATTCATAGGATGTTGTACACAGCAGACACCACAAACTAGCTTCATCTTGACCAGAATATTTCTGAAAAAACAGGTTAGGGGCTGGTTTCCAGGGCAGATTGCTAAGCAGCAAGAATGGGTCCTGTGGTTCATATGGAGCGTGTGCAGCGACAACTGTGTCATTATCACCGATACCCTAACTCAGCGTGAAGCATTGTGTTCAAAGTTGTCCCATCTAGGAGGACAAGTGCAGCAGATACATGGGAACACCACCCCCTTCAAGTTCCCCTCTAAGTCACTCACCATCCTGACTTGGAAAGGCATTGCTATTCCTTCAGTGTTGCTGGGTCAGAATCCTGGAATTCTCTCCCTAAGGGCATTGTGGGTGAACCCACAGCCCATGGACTGCAGTGTTTCAAGAAGGCAGCTCAACCCACCTTCTCAAGGGGGCAAGTAGGGATGGGCAATAAATGCTGGCTCAGCCTGTTACATCCACATCCCATGAATGGATTCAAATATTCTGTATTTCTTTCCTACTACATTTTCCAAAAGGAAAAATTACAGGATGTTGACACAAACAATGAAATTTATGAATGATACTCAGAGTGATGGGTTTTAAAGAAAATTTTTAAAGAAGAACGATAGAGTCGATGATTTTAATGTAATCCACTCCAGCGCCATAGTTTTCAGCAGAGTATGAAATCTCTTGGGATATAAATACAGATCTCCCAAATTCAGCAATCCTGACTTGGTGGGTAGGTTAAAATGCACCTATCCCCAGTTTTCAGTAAGGAATCCTGGAGCTTGTCTGATGCATACTAGACGAGAAGTTTAAATAGGTGACTTTTTCAAAACCAGTTGCCTGATTGGCAAGACGTGGAGAATATTTGGTATGATGAACAGCCTTGACACAGTCCCAATATTGCATCTTCCCTAATTTGGCTTCATCTGCAAAGTTTGAATTCAATATTGAGGAAAATGATAAAGAAGAAGATAGGTGGAGATTTGACTCCTCTCCACCTATTTTCTCCTTTATCCATCTTCTATCCGCCTCCCCCTCTCTCCCTATTTATCTCAGAATCCCCTTCCCCTTCCCCATTTCTGAAGAAGGGTGTAGGCCCGAAACGTCAGCTTTCCTGCTCCTCTGATGCTGCTTGGCCTGCTGTGTTCATCCAGCTCTACACCTTGTTATATCAAGTATCTAACCTAGGTTAAAATGAGACTTCAGGGAAAGCTTGACTGTAACATTGATTGAGAAAGGATCTGCCATTCGGGTTAAATGAGTTAAAATTAAGTTTCCCCATACCCCCAAAAGAAAGACCCTAAATCCAAGTCTGCAGCAGTTTATTTTAATTTAGAGCAGAGTTTCTGTGAGAGTGCTGACTTAAAGGTGCGAACCTGAAGAGAAAATATGAAATGAATGTCCTGTTTGCTGCATCAGATAAATGTGAAATATCTCACGGCACTATCAGAGGGTAAACAAGAAGGTTTGGTATCAACATTCCTTCAAACAAAGTAATATAACACTATCTACCCATTCATCCCGTTTGTGTGTAAGATTGCTGTTGTACACAAAATGCTGCCACATTTGCCAAAATTGCAGTCAATGCACTTCAGAATAATTCATCCAAGCACCTGGAGCTACTTCAAAGAGATAATAAGGTGTTATCAAAATGCAAGACTTCCATCTTTTCCCTAAATAACAGCTTAGCCTCAAATCCTGGCTCAGTAAAACTCCACTATCCTTGGGTAGATTCCTTTACTCATTTATCTGCTGGACATCTTTTCACCCTGGAATCATGGGAACAAGTGCCAAAACCTGTTGGCATTGCGTCCCAGTTTGTAAATGGAGCAAACAAAAGCTGAACTTAAATCTGGATACTCTGACTTTCTCTCACATGATGTGATCACTCACAAAATGAAAACATAGTCAAAGATCAAAGGCAAAGACAATTTGTACAAAGCTCACATCTTCTAACCTCAGCATTTCCCAGTCTGCTTCATAACCAGTCGATCATTTTACAAACTGCAAAACTACTTTTAACCTTGATCACATCTATAAAAAATACACAGAGCAAGATCCCAGAAGCAGTGGACCATGTAAGAGGGCAGTTAATCTCTTATTGACGGTGCTGGTCAAGGCAAGATCACTGAGGACAATTTCTTTGCTTTTCTTCAAATGGTGCTGCGGGATATTTTACACCCACTTCAAGGACTTAATTTGACATCTCTGAATGTGTCTTATGTACAAATAATCCTCCCAGCAATAGGGAGCAATTGCTTTGGTGACTATGATGGACAGGTCATCTCTAACGAACCCATTCACCATTACAGTGGCCTTAAACATGCAGCCACCAAAGCTGTTTTTGGCACAGGAAATGATGTCAGGTGCTATTAGTGGGTCACAGCTGTGAAGATTTAATTAGTAGGATTGCTACACTTAATTGAAAACCAATTAGAAGCTGATGGATTTTGATTAGCAATTTAAATTTTTTTAATATATAATTTGTATTAACCAGTTTCAGGCAGATGTGGAAGGCGCTGAATCTGTGTCAGGAAGGCAAAGTGGAATTATATTTCAATATAACTTGTGCTGAGCCACTGGCTGTTATATTTGACATGAGTCAACTCCATCTGTTCAAAAGGATAAAGGACATTTAACCCAGATTCTGAGGCTGTTTATGGGTACTCCCTCACAAAGAGAGTGTGCCACAACATTAGCATTGACATTGAAAGAATTTTTTATAAGAGACAAACACATTGACCTCTCAGTCCCTGTCACATATACTCAGTCATTTCGCCTCCCAGAAATACACCTAAAGCCATCAGTTATATTTATACAGATTTCATTCAGATTTAGGAAGACGGTTCTCAGTGTTGGCCCTCAGTCAAGCTGCACCCTAAAATGTTGTTTGTGTGTAACTTATTTCATAACTGAAATCCCAATTTGTATTTGAGTGTCCCAGTTCTATTTGTTACCTCTCTTCACAAGAGTTTCCCAGATGAGAAAGGCCAATCAGCCCATTTTATTTCATCCTTCCAGACTGACACTACAAATTCTTCCATTCGACCATTCAAATGTTGTATTAAAGAATTTTCCATAAATATTCCTTCCACAAACTTCTCAGAGTTTGAATCTGAGTTTTGATCTTGAAGTAAGCAAAAATGTTTCTGATATAATTTTGAAATTTACATTTTGCTAGTTTGAACCTGTTTCTCTTTGTTTTGTACCCACTATTTAATTCAATGTTGCTGTTAATTATTTCCATATTATTTGCTCTTCCCCTGACCGAGACATATAGGATTCTTAAGGGGCTTGACAGGGTAAATGCCGAGAGGATGTTTTCCCTCATGGGAGAGTCTAGGACCAAAGGGCATAGTCTCAGAATAAAAGGATGCCATTTTAAGACCAAGATGAGAAGAATTTTTTCTTTCAGAGAGTTATGAGTTTTTGGAACTCCTTGCCACAGAGATCCGTGGGGGCAGAGTCCTTGTGTAAATTTAAGGCTGAGATAAATAGATTCTTGATCAGTCAGGGAATCAAGGGTTATGGGGAAAGTGGACATAAGCAATGTTGCATCAGCCATGATTCTATCGAATGATGGCACGGACTTGAGGGGCCGAATAGCCTGCTCCTGCTCCTATTTCTTATGGTCATTTGGTAAATCATTTTCCAAGCCATAACACCCAAATATCTCCAGTCTATTTTCATGATTTTGACATGTGGGTCTGCCCCATGGACAGTGTCTCATCGACCGGAACTGGAGATGTGATCTGCAAAGCTCATTGTTTGATTATGACTTGTAACTGATTGTTGGTGTATCCTGTTTCCATAGTGCTTTGTCTTTATGGACTTTTTTTTGTGTTGGATAGTCATGTTATGTGTTGACTCTTCTTATCAGCTAAAGTCAATTTCAACTTTGCTGTTAGTCAAGTTGAAAATATTCGTAGAGAATGTGAGTCACTTACAATTCTCTCCATCATGCAGCTTTCTGTATCTGGCTGTACTGTTGTCTGGCACAATTATATATGGCCTAACTCTGGGTGAAATTTCTTCTCTGTGTCTCTCTACCGCCTGTTAGTAGTTTTGCTGAAGTGTTTGGACTGAGATTGTGATCCAAGTCTTTGATGTAAATTAGAAACAGCAGGGATCATAACAACAAACCCTGGGGTATCCCACTCATTATCCAAACCCCCACACCGGCCCATATGGTGACTTAACATCCTCTCCCGAGTCCCTGCTTCTTCTTACTCTTCAACCAGTTTCTTATCAATTCTTAAATATTGCCACAATCCTTACACCTCTATGCTTAGCAAAAAATCTTTGATGTAAACTTCACTGAAGATATTTTGTATATCCAGCTACAGAATACTTAACACAACATGGGCTATCACTGCCTCAAATGGAATGAGAGGGGAAGGTGTGGATTGATTGTCCTGTCCGCCTAATATTTACTCTGTTGTAACTCGACAAATAAAGCTCCAGTTTACTTCTGATAATCAATCCAATTATTTTACATTACATCTGTGATAGAGGTCAGAGTGTCAAGCTGAATGAGCAGCAACCGAATCCCTCAGTTAACTCTTCGCTGCTTCAGTTCGTTGTTGCCTCCCTCTTCCTCGGAATCCTGTGCTATTTACAGAATTGAAGATTGTTACAGCACAGAAGCCCATTGTGACTATGGCAATGCTTTGAAATAGTCCTCAGTTTAACCCCACCAGCCTTTTCCCAGACAGCCCTGTGTAATGTTCCCATTGTATAATCATCAAATTCCCTTGACTCTGTTTCCACGGATTCCCTCAGAAGGCATTCCCGACGAAGATGACTCACTGTGAAATAATTCCCCTCGTGTTGCCTCTGGTTGATTAGCCAATCCTATCAAATCTGGTTACCCATCCACATCACACTGGAACCAGGTTTTGCTGCTAGGTTGACTCTGTTCAATGTTTCAGGATTTTGGAAGGTTCTGCTAACTGTGGATGTCTTCTTGTCCTGGTGCAGGTACCTGTATCCGTGGCCATGATGAGCCCCCAGGTGATTACTCCACAACAGATGCAGCAGATTCTGTCTCCTCCCCAACTGCAGGCATTACTGCAGCAGCAGCAGGCTGTCATGTTACAGCAGGTAAGTAACAAGGCCACATTACACAACAACCCCAATCTCACAAACTTCATGTCATGCTCATTCAGCAGCTCCTGTTTCCCCTTTGGTATCAATCAGTCATCTGCTACCATCAGCACTGACAGCTGGCACAACAGGGCACTCCAACAGTGCGGTTCCCATCACTGGGGCCAGAATCGCTGTCACCACTCCCTCAAGAGGGAGTTAAATGCCCTTTTGCAAGCCTCTCATTATAACCCTGGAGTCCCCTTTCTTTACCAAATCTCATTGGATGTGATTCTGGAGATTTAGCAGGTTGCTCAGAGTTTGCCACTGACTACATAAAACTCCACAGTCATCAGCGACAGGGACTGTCCTGCCAACCAATCCCTGTACCTCGCCCCCCAGGCATCATTCAGCCCTCCTCTCCATGACCTCCCCCCGCCCCATCCCAACCACAGCCCCATGCTGAAGGGGCTTAAAGCAGGATCTCGTGATAACCCTCTCTCACAACAGATAGCTGAGGTGATGCTCTGCCATACAAGCCGGGAGGATGCCATAAGACTGTAAGGCAGAGGAGCAGGAGTAGGCCATTCAGTCCATCGAGTCTGCTGTATCACTCTATCACAACTAATCTGATTACCCATTCCATAACCCATGACCCTCAATTCCCTTACTGATTAAAAATCTATCTCAGCCTTGAATATACTTAATGACACAGCCTCAACAGCCAACTGCAGTAAAGAAATCCATAGATTTAAGATCCTATGAGAGAGGAAATTCCTCCTCATCTCTATCTTAAATCTATATGACCCCTTACTCTGAGATCATACCCTCTGGTCCTAGACTCTCCCAAAAGGGGAAACTATCTCTCCACATCTACCCTGCCAAGTCCCCTGAGAGTCTTGTTTCAGGAAGGTCATCTCTCCTAATAAGATAGTCCCTCCATACCTGATACCAGGTGAGTGAACCTTCTCTGGCCTGCCTCCAATGCCAGTATCTTCCCTTAGATAAGGAACCAAAAACTGTTCACAGTATTCCAGGTACAGTCTGGCTAGTTCCTTGTATTGTCCCAGCAAAACCTTTCTGTATTTATACTGAGATAACAAGGTGTAGAGCTGGATGAACACAGCAGGCCAAGCAGCATCACAGAAGCAGGAAAGCTGACGTTTCGGGCCTGGACCCTTCTTCAGAAAATCATATTTGTACTGCATTCTCTTTGAAATAAAGGCCAGAATTCCATTTGCCTTCTATATTACCTACTTTTTGTGATTCATGGGACAGATTGATCTTCAGCCAGTGCTGGTTTAGCTCATGCTGGGTCTCATAGTGGTGGGGATAGAGTGACCGACCAGGTCTCAGTATGTTCCTGCTGAGGGACCATTGGCTGAGAGACCGATGGCTGAGTGACCATTGGCTCAGTGACCGATGGCTAAGTGACCATTGGCTGAGAGACCATTGGCTCAGTGACCATTGGCTGAGAGACCGATGGCTGAGTGACCGATCGCTCAGTGACCATTGGCTCAGTGACCATTGGCTGAGTGACCATTGGCTGAGTGACCAGTGGCTGAGTGACCATTGGCTGAGTTACCATTGGCTGAGAGACCATTGGCTGAGTGACCGATGGCTCAGTGACCATTGGCTGAGTGACCGATGGCTGAGTGCCCGATGGCTGAGAGACCAGTGACTGAGTGACCGATGGCTGAGTGACCATTGACTGAGTGACCAGTGGCTGAGAGACCGATGGCTCAGTGACCAGTGGCTGAGGAATTGCTGGTTGAGTTACTGGTGACGGAGTGACCGGTAACAGAGTGACCATTAACTGAGTAACCAGTGGCCAGGAGTGGGTTCTCTTCCTGAAGATGAGAACTGTGTCTGTGAGGAAGGAAAAAGTGCAACAAAAAATTTCTAAACACACGCGAAGGATTCAGTTGAATGATACTGAGGTGGAAATGGTTAAATTAAGGCCAGTGACGATTGAATTTATATTTCACTGTGGACTGCTTCCCACAAAAAGAGTGGATATCGGAATCTGTTTTGCCCCCAGCTGCCCAGTAAGTTGCTGAGGGCTCCCTTCGGTCAATTAAACATTGAGAGATTTTTTTATTGGCTGAGGGGTTGGAGACAGGGAGGTCAAGTGAAGTGAAAATACAGATCAGCTTTAATTTAATACAGGATAGTGTTGATAGGGCTGAATGGCTTTTTGCTGCTCAGTGAGGAGGCTTTCTGCAAAGGAGGGAAAAGGGCGAGGGATTGAAGAAAGAAGAGTTAATTCCAGTGGTGTTGATACACACGAGATGCCCTGTGCTCGCTGTAATCAGTTCCTTTCAGTTAAAATGAGCTCCTGATCTAAATTAATATATTTCTCGAATCTTTCTAAACATAGCAGTCATCCCAAGCAGCATTTTACAGGTTCCTCATCTACATGTCACCAGCACACAATGATCCCACAGACCCTGTAGGATTGCACTGACAGATAATTAACTTTCCACCGAGAATTTAATTGGTGCTGTTGAACAGAGAATAGCAGTGAAGTTTGCTGTGTGCTGACTATTGTTCTGATATTAATTTTCTGATTGCTTCATCTGTGGGTTTTTTTTTCACTCTGACCAAGATTATTTGTACTATCTGTCTGCGTCTGTCTTTTTCCTTCCATCTTTCATTTCTTAACAGCTTCAAGAGTATTACAAGAAACAACAGGAACAATTACACCTTCAGCTGCTAACTCAACAACAACAACAACAACAACAACAACAACAAGCCATCAAACAGTCGAAAGAGGTACGTAGCTCTGGGGGTAGCTGTATTTCCTCATACTGAGAACACTGTATCTTCCTCAACCTGCTACATCACCTGAGTGACACCTTTCAGTATGGGTGATTAGATAGTGCATGTTGGATGGCAATTTAGAAACCGAAAGAATTGCAGATGCTGTAAATCAGGAACGAAAACAGAAATTACTAAAATAAAAGCTGAGCAGGTCTGGCAGCATCTGCGAAGAAAAATCAGAGTTAATGTTTTGGGTCTGGTGATCCTTCCTCAGAACTGTCGGTAGCGACGGAAATGTCTGTTTATATGCAGAACATAGGGTGGGGGGAGGGGGTGAGGAGTAAACGATAGGTAGGGATAGAGCCCAAAGAGAGAGAAGAGCAGTTGGATAGACAAAGGAGCGGATAACAATCTGGCAGATAGCTGTTAATGGGAATTGTCAGTGACTAACATTGGATAGTGTGTAATGGCAGGCTATGTGATAACAAGGCCTGGTGTATGGGGTCGGGGGCTGGGACATGGGAGAGTTCAAGCCCTAAAATTATTGAACTCGATATTGAGCCCAGAGGGCCGCAGGGTCTCCAAGCGGAAAATGAGGTGTTGTTCTTCCAGCTTGCGCTGAGCTTCACTGCGAGGCTGAGACAGAGATGTTGTTCAGGGAACAGGGTGGTGTGTTAAAGTGGCAGGCAAATGGAAGCTCAGGGTCGTTTTTGTGGACGTAGACGTTCTGTGAAGCAGTCACCCAGTTTACACTTCATTTCCCCAATGTAGAGGAGACCACACTGTGAGCAGCGAATGCAGTAGACTAGATTGTAGGAAAGTGCTGCTTCACCTGGAAGGTATGTTTGGGCCCTTGGATACTGAGGAGGGAGGAGGTAAATGGGCAGGTGTTGCACCTTCGCCGGTTACAGGGGAAGGCACTGGGGGGTTGTGGGGGTTGTGCGCACCCAGACCCACCTCTCTACCCTATCCCTGTAATCCTGGATTTC